AGCTGCCGGCCCCGGCGGGGGCCGAGTTCTGGGGGAGAACTGAGGCCGGGGGAGGACGCGTGGGGATGGGGAGGGAAGGGTACTGAAATGGCCCTGCAGGAGGAAGGCCATGGCTGTGGCCGCCGGCAGCAGCGAAGGGCTGGCGTGGTGGGGGACGGAGGGCAAAAGTGAAGTTCCGGGGATATGCAGAGGCAGGAGAAGGGGGTGAGAATCTCTGGGGGGCAGGGAGTGGCCGGCAGTGCGACTGCACAGCCGTGGCTTCGGGCAGCCCTGAAGGGGACGGGACTGGAAGGAAGGACTCGAGCGCTGGGGTTTGATGGCTTCCGTGCCTGGGGCAGGAAGCTTACCACGGGTCCAACCCGGTTCTAAGCCTGGATGACGGGGGTGGGCGAGCTCTTACCCGTTGCCCAGATGGCAATTCTCTGCCCCCTCCCCTGCCTGTCTGTGCTCATTATCCTCACCTGACGGGCCCCGGGCTCGCTTGAGGAGCGGGCACAGCGATGCCAGGCTCCTGACAGGTGGGACCATCTGCCAGGCAGGGCTGGGGAGACTGTCCGGCTCAGGAAGGGGGAACTGAAGGGACTTGGGGGAAGGGCTGCAAGGCCGGAAGGGACTGGGATACTGAAGGGCGTCGGGGGGGCGGCTGTCATGGGGTGGACTGGGGCTGGGGGGAGGCTGTAGGCACTCAGGGAAGGGGAGGGAGGAGCACATGGGCGAGAGGTGGTGACTTGGTGAGGAAGCTGAGGTTCAGCCAGGGGGGCAGGAGCTTGAGGAAGGGGAGAGGAAGAAAGGATGCTGAGAGGGACTGCATCAGAGCTCTGGAGGAGGGAGCAAGGGATGGGACAGGATTTTGGTGAAGAGGCTCTGCAAGTGGGGGAGGGGCGGGCAGGAAGGGGCATACCTGGAGCTTTCGCAACTGCTGTAGCTGGCCACGCAGGTCACTGGCGCTGCTCTGTAGGCCACGAAGATGCAGCTGCATTTGCAGACGGCTGGCGGCAGTGGGCTGCCCTGCAGGGGTGCTGCTGGCCACGGGCAGGGGAGGGCCGGACACTGGGGGGGCCCCGCTGCTCCGGCCTCCTGACCCGCAGGCTGCAGAAAAGGACCACAGGACGGAAGAAAGGGAACCAGGGGTGAGCCTGGGAGGTGCTGGGGCTAGGTGCTCCCCACTCCCCAGTCCCATGCAGTAGCCAGAGATGAGCATGGCTCCGACTCCCTGCCCAAGTGGTCAGCTCTCACTTGGGGAGCAAAGTGGCGGGGAAAGAAGACATCTTGAGCTAAGGTGACCGCTCATTTATCCTCTGAACGCCCAGTGATGTCCCCACTTCACACATGAGGACACAGGCAGGGGAGGGCAAGAACCTGTGGGACAGGAGGATGGTCACTCACGTGCTGAGGGGGTGGCTGCTCCATTGGAGCTTTCAATCTTCTCGCTGTGAGACAGGGAAAAGGACAGCCATCAGGGGGGCCAGCCCGAGGCTGTCAGAGCCGGTGGGACCTTGGATGCAGGCTCTCCGGCTCTCTGATCTCAGGATGGAATCCCAGAGAAGGGAAAGGACTCACCCAGGGTCACCCAGTGAGACGCTGCCAAGTTGAGCCCAGGGCTCCTGATGCTCATTGCACTTCCTCCCGCCCCAACCCCAGGCCCTGGCAGTGGTGTTGGGCGAGGGGCCACACCTGGGGGTCTCAGGCTCTGAGCCTCGCAGTAGGGCGCTCTGCACCAGGCCGGTGAGGCTGGCAATCTGCTTCTCCATGGCCTCCATGCGCTCCCTGGGGAGGAAGGCGAGGCTGAGTAACCTCTCCTCTGGGCACAGGGCCTCTCCTGCCCAGTCCCCTGCCTACGCCCCCCCCACTCCTAGGACTGACAACCAAAGGAAACACCATTCCCTCCCTGGCTGCCAATTCAAAGGGCCCAAAGTTCAAGGATCAAGCCCGCAGCCCCCACCTCGTCTCTCACTGCCTCCCTAAAGGCCCCATCCTGACTCTGCCCCTTGGTTGTCCCTTGCCTGCTGTGCCTTCTGACTTCCTCTCTGAAGTCGCTTTCTCCCACACCACCCAAGGGAAGTGCGAGTATTTTCCAGGACAGGAACTCGGTTTGCCCAACTTGGCATCGACAGTAGCCAGTGCAGCACACATGCCCCGTGAGAGCCGTGTGAAGGCCAATGGCCTCTCCTAGCTTCTCAGCAGCGCTGCCCAAGGGCAACCTCCTGCCATAGTTACCCCTCCAGCCCTGCACTCTTAGGAGAGGGCTGAGTGATGGGCTAGGACTCCCCAGCCTGGAGTCTGGGAAACAGAATGTGTCTCTCCCTGTCCCTGCTCCCCAGTGGACTTCAGCGGGTCCTGTGCTGGACAGCTCTCACGGCTGCAAACTGTCCCAGCTGAAAAGGCACTAAAAGGGCTGCTTCAGCCCCTCAGTTTTACTGTTGGGGAAACTGAGGCTCAGAAAATGGATGCAAGCCCAGGTCTCCAGAGTCCTCCTCTGAGGACCTCTCAGTTCCTGCAGACTGAAGGGGACTGGCAAGTTGGTCTCTCCAGTGCCCTCCCTGCCACATCCAAGCTGCTCTGGCGACCCCTCGAGGCGACTTACTCAGGGTCTACAAAGGACTCCGGGGTCTCTGAGTCCAGGACACACACCTGCCACGCACTCCACCGTGCCCCCTCGCCCC